AATGCCGAGTACTGGGAGTCAATGTTCCCTCTAAGCTGTGGAGTCTTGTGAGCAAAAATTCTACTTTGTGAGCTACTGGCATTAAAGTTGTGAGTGAGCGACTTGGCTGCTGCATAAATTAGTTTGCTCTGGAGCCATCCTTCCCGAGCTGAGACAGAAATGTGTGAGCCGGAGGCTAAAAAACCTCTGAGCTAGCTCACACTAACTCAGCTTAGAGGGAACACTGCTGGGAGTGTACATATGGTCAAAAATTGACTTCTAAACTAATACCGACCATCTTTTTTCTTTTCTTTTCTTTATTTTTCTTTTATTGGTTTTATACAGATGGCACCTGCTTAACGGCTTGAAAACTGGATGAACAACTAAGAGATCCCAGTCTGATAAATTACCAGACTGAGCCCATCCATTTAATTCTATTTTTTTCCCCTAGCTGTACTTCTTGGTCAGTCGTATGGAGTGCTTGAACCCAGAACTAGACTTCTGGCCCAGCAGTTTCAAACAACTCTTCTGAACAAGGAGCCCAAATGGATGGTGGTGGGCTGAAACAATCCTCCATTCCCTGCCACCAGTAGTACCAAAGCACAATGTCTGGGCTTCCCCACCACACAATTTTGAGCCACCTGAATGTGTGGCTCTTCTCCATCCCCATGCTGGCCATACCCAGGCCTCTAGTTTGGGCTAAAACACAGTCTTCTGAGGTCTAGAGCACAGTCAGAAACAGCATCGGAACACTGTCTAAGAACAAATGTGTTTCAGTCACTGATACTCCGGCCGTGCTTGCAAGTAACCTACCTGTGGTTACTACGAAAGCCAGATGCAACCGCTGTACTTCCTGAGGAAGATGCTCGCTAAGAATGAGGCTTATTTCTGAACATGTAATTACCCAGCCCAGCAGGTGCTCAGATATCTCTTCACCCGGCCTGTTCCTACTGTTGCTGATGGTGGTCCTTCTATATCAGCAGCTTCCTTCTACTTGGGCAATTCCCCCTACAATGGCCTTTTCCTCTTCACTGCCCACATGAATCACTTGAAATGGGAGTCCCTTCAGACCCTGCTTCTGGATCCACCCTCCCAAAGCTGCTTGTGAACTGCTTGCCCCTGGACGTACCCTTTGGCAAGCTCTTCCCGGAAGGCTGTTGACGTCATGAAAGAGTCACGCTGCAGCTGAAAACTAGCAGCGAATATCTTTAAGGAAGCACCCATTTCCACTTCCACACAAACTTCGCACAACGTAAGCCGAGGATTATCTCAAAAGGCTTCTTCAACCCAGAAGCTAGGAAGCTCCCCAATTCATCCACTTTCAAGCTGGCTTTTCCCAGATGATCCTTTCGGGGCTTGCCACTGGACACAGCCCCCACCCCCAAACGGCCAGTCCCAGATCCCACATTCTGCTCGGGTTACAATATTTTGCAAAGAAAAAAAAAGAAAAAAAAAGAAGAGGACCTATTTCCCGACTGACTACTCCAAACAAGTGATCGCTAGGTCGAATCTCGTTTTAAATTTAAGCTGAAGCTTGCCTCCATTGGGGGGGGGGGGGGAGGGCAAAACAAGCTAGAGGGCAAAACAGGCTCGGCCTCCCAACCCCAAAAGAGGGCATTTTCATCAGTTTTTTAAAAGGAGCCCAAAAGAGGAGGGACACCAAAAAAGAGAGATGTCCTCTAAAAAGTGGACATCTGGTAACCTTCGCTTACAGCATGGTTTGGGCAGGGAAAGCACTATCAAACAGCTTTCTCAGAGCACATATATTAGCATTTGGAATACTGTGTGCAGTTCTGGTCACCACACCTTAAAAAGGATATTAAAGCTTTGGAAAAAGTGCAGAAAGGAGCTACTAGAATGATCAAAGGGTTGGAACACTTTCCCTATGAAGAAAGGTTAAAGCGCTTGGGGCTCTTTAGCTTGGAGAAACGACGGCTGAGGGGTGACATGATCGAGGTCTATAAGATTCTGCATGGGATAGAGCAGGTTGAGAAAGAGGTACTTTTCTCCCTTTCTCACAATACAAGAACTCGTGGGCACTCCATGAAATTGCTGAGCAGTCGGGTTAGAACGGATAAAAGGAAGTCCTTCTTCACCCAAAGAGTGATTAACACATGGGATTCACCGCCACAGGAAGTGGTGGCGGCTACAAGCATGGACGGCTTCAAGAGGGAATTAGATAAGCATATGGAGCAGAGGTCCATCAGTGGCTATTAGCCACAAGGTATAGATAGGGACTCTGGGGCAAGTGATGCTCTGTCATCTTGGTGCTTGGGGGGGGGTCAACAGTGGGAGGGCTTCTAGTGTCCTGGCCCCACTGCTGGACCTCCTGATGGCACCTGGTATTTTTGGCCACTGTGTGACACAGAGTGTTGGACTGGATGGGCCTTTAGCCTGATCCAACATTGGCGTCTCTTATGTTCTTATTTTCACCCTCTTCTCAGTTGCCATTCTTTTCTATATCTAGATAGGACCAAGCCACCTTCTCATTAAGGGCTTGCGTAGCTGCTTGCAGGAGCCCCAAGTGGCACTGGGATGCTGCTGGAGAAAGATTGCAAGGAATTCGGTTGCTTTCTCATCAGTCCCCTCAGCATTCACAAAGACTAAAAGCTCTAAGTCAGTCAAGTATCCGCCAGCCCTAGCCTCACCTGAGTGGCCAACACATTTATTTTCAGGTAATCCAGTTTTGCCAGTTTAAAATTGCTGCAGCCACTTGTAAAACCTGAAACAGACGGTGCAATCCTAAGGAAATTTTCCTGGGAGTAAGTACCATAGAGTAGACTGGAGAAGGATTCTGAGTAGCCCTGTTTAGGATTGCTCTCAAGAGCCAGTGTGGCATAGTGGTTAGGACAGTGGACTCTAATATGGAGAACCAGGTTTGATTCCCCACTAGAGATGTAAAATTTCCAGAAATTTTGAAGCTCGGAAAAAAATCTGTTTCCCCCCCCCAAAAAACGGAAATTTTCAGAAAAATTGAAAAAAATGCTACATTAGCACTTTTTTTTTCTTTTCCAAATTTAAAGTCATTCTGTTACTTTAGGAACATAAAATATGACTATGGACATTGTTACTTGGCATGAAATTATCACAACTAGCATATTAAAATATAGTATATCCAAACAATTATTACAAACAGAATACCCACCCACATGCAAAAACAAAACTGAAACCTTTTTCTTTTCTTGTGACAATAGCACCTCCTAAAAGAAGAAATGCATCTTGTTCTTGCATTGGAGAGTTCAGTTTGTAACCTAGGACTTGCTTGTCTTCAGTGCACAGAAATTAGATCTGATACGGGAAAAAAAATGGGGGGGGGAATGGTTTTTTCCCAAATTTTTCCATTTTTTTCCTGGGCCTTCACATCTCTGTTCCCCACTCCTCCACATCAACCCAGCTGGGTGACCTTGGGACAGTCACAGTTCTCTCAGAGCTGTTCTCTCAAGAACAGTTCTCTCAGAACTCTCTGAGCCCCACCTGCCTCACAAGGTGCCTGTTGTGGGGAGAGAAAGGAAAGACAAGTGTAAGCCGCTTTGAGACACATGAGGCCTGCCGGGTGACCTTGGGCCAGTCACCATTCGCTCAGAACTCTCAGCCCCACCTGCCTTACAAGGTGCCTGTTGTGCGGAGGGGAAGGGAATGTGATTGTAAGCCACTCCTTAAGGTAGAGAGAAGTGGGGTATAAAAACCTGCTCTTCTTCTATTAACCAGCTGCAAACTAACCAAAACACCCAGGCCTCCTGACTAGGCCAAAATGTCAAGATGGAACGAGATACATCAACCCCAAACAGTAGGGAAGTGGAACTGCAGCACCTGTTGAGTGGAGCTGCTGCTGGTTTCCTCATTACAGTGCCTCAGCTTCTGAGAGCAGCTGTTTGGGGGAACTGCCTCATCCATCTCAGTGGCCCAACACCCTGCCATCCACTAGGCTGCATTAACCATGATGCCATGAGGGAAAAGCACTTAGAAGAAGAAAAGAGATTAGAATTACATCCCGCCCTTCACTACCCAAAGGAGTCTCAGAGCAGTTCACAATCTCCTTTCCCTTCCCACAACAGACACCCCGTGAGGAAGGCGAGGCTGAGAGAGCTCTTTCGAGGACTGCTCTTGAGAGAACAGCTCTGAGAGAATTTGTGACTGACCCAAGGTCGTACCAGCAGCTGCATGTGCAGGAGTAGGGAATCAAACCCGGTTCTCCCAGATTAGAGCTTGCGCTCCAATTTAGCCAAATGACTTTGGGCTCACACAGTACCTTGTTTAAACAGGGCCGCTCCCTTGAAAAACAGCTATGTACGTTTCAAGATCGTATCACTCCAAAATCCACCTAGGCTCCTGAAACTTCTTCAGGATCATCAGGCCTTAGAAACAGCCCAGAGCAGGCTGGATTCTGAAGACCTGGGGTCACCACCAACGCTCCCTCTAAGCTGTGGAGTCTTGTGAGCAAAAATTCTACTTTGTGAGCCACTGGCATTAAAGTTGCGAGCGAGCGATTTGGCTGCTGCCTAAATTAGTTTGCTCTGGAGCCATCCATCCATCCCGAGCTAAAACAAAAATGTGTGAGCTAGAGGCTAAAAATCTCTGAGCTTGCTCACAATAACTCAGCTTAGAGGGAACACTGGTCACCACAGTTAGTGTAGTGGTGCTGCCTAATGGACTCTAATCTGGAGAACCAGGTTTGATTTCCCACTCCTCCACACGAAGCCAGCTGGGTGGCCTTGGGCCAGTCACAGTTCTCTCAGAACTCAGCCCCACCTGCCTCACAGGGTGTCTGTTGTGGGGAGAGGAAGGGAATCGTGAGCCACACTGAGACTCCTTCAGGTAGTGAAGAGCAGGGTATAAAACCAACTCTTCTTCTTCTTATCTATTGTTGTTGTTCAGTCGCACAGTCGAGTCCAACTCTTCGCGACCCCATGGACCAGATCCCGCCAGGCCCTCCTGTCTTCCGCTGTCCTCTGAAGTTTGCTCAATTTCATGTTCGTTGCATCTATGACACTGTCTAACCATCTCATCCTTTGCCGTCCCCGTCTTCTTTGACCTTCAATCTTTCCCAGCATCAGGGTCTTCTCCAGTGAGTGCTCCCTTCTCATTGGGTGGCTAAAGTATTTGAGCTTCAGTTTCATTATCTGGCCTTCCAGGGAACAGTCAGGGTTGATTTCTTTTAGGATTGACTGATTTGATCTTCTTGCAGTCCAAGGGACTCTCAAGAGTCTTCTCCAGCACCATAGTTCAAAAGAGTCTATTCTTTGGCGCTCGACCTTCCTTATAGTCCAACTCTCGCAGCCATACATGACTACTGGGAATACCATTGCTTTGACCATGCAGACTTTTGTTGGCCTTCTTATCTATACTCCTCCATATACACAAATGGCTGTAATGTGCTCTTATGGATGAAAAATACACTCTTGCGGCCATGAAGGTGAGATCTGCCCTTCACTCCTGACACAAAAGGACTTAGTCTTCCAGTTAACGGGATCCCATCAGGCTGGGGCACTACATATAAGAACACAAGAGAAGCCAATGTTGGATCAGGCCAATGGCCCATCCCATCCAACACTCTGTCACACGGTGGCCAAAAAGACCAGGTGCCATGGTCAAGCAGTGGGGCCAGGACACTAGAAGCCCTCCCACTGTTGCCCACCCCCCAAGCACCAAGAATACAGAGCATCAATTGCCCCAGACGGAGAGTTCCTATCTATACCTTGTGACTAATAGCCACTGATGGACCTCTGCTCTTTGTGGGGGACTGTTGCTTGAGAAAGGCCAGCCCAGAGCCTCTCGGGGGTGCTGTTGTGCATGACTTTGAATTATGGCCATTGTCTATATGTGACTAAGAAACCTCAGGTACCCACTCTGAAATTCTTGGACAAAGAACAGCCTATAGAAA